GAATGGCTTGAATCAACCTTCATCGCAGTGCCGAAAAAACAAAACGCAAAAACCTGTGATCAACACCGACTCATCAGCCTCATCAATCATATTACGAAAGTCTTCACGAAAATAATCCACAACAGAATATACAATAAATGTGAAGAAAACATCAGTAAATCCCAATTTAGATTTCGGAATGCCCTTGGGAGAAGAAGAAGAGAAGCTATCTTTAGTCTACAAGTTCTTATTCAACGATGTAGAGATGTCAACAAAAAAGTATATCTTTGCTTTATCGACTTTGCCAAAGCGTTCGACAGCGTAGACCATGAGCTATTACTAAAAATCATCGAAAATACCGGCATCGATAATAAAGATATCCGCATAATAGCAAACATCTTTTGGGGACAAACCGCTAAGATAAAGCTGAACAACCGGTATTCTGACAACAAAGAAATAAAAAAAGGAGTGAGGCAGGGCTGCATCTTGTCTCCGCTCCTCTTCAATATATACTCGGAAAACGTATTTGGAAAAGCGTTGGAGGAGGCAGCAGAGGGCATACAGATAAACGGAGAGTGGATTGACAATGTGCGATATGCTGATGATACAGTCATACTAGCCAACGACATAGTAAAGCACAAGACAAATGGGATAAATTCAAAAACTCTATACAAGCAAATTGTGAAAAATATTTGCAATAGGATAAAAACGAAAAACAAGAGTGGATGACACAAGAGATCCTCGACATGATGGACGAAAGACGGAAACACAAAGGTGAAAACAACAAAAGTACCGTGAAATTCACAAAAACATAAGGAAAAACGTTAGAGAGGCAAAGGAAAAATGGTTCTCTGAAAAATATGACAAGATAGAACAATATGAAGTGAAGAACGACTACTGCAATATGCACAAGGAAATAAGGGAAATGACAACAAAGAAAATAAACAACAGAAATACGCTCATACTGGACACTAACGATAATATTATTTCGGAACCATCAAAATGTCTAGAGGTATGGAAATCATATGTCGAACTCATCTTTGCTTCGGAACGATCTAAAGAACACAATATGAATGAGATAGATAGAGAAAGAGATGAATTATGAAATCCGAAACTGAAAAAGCTATTCTATCTCTCAAGAACGACAAAGCTCCTGGACCTGATAGCATTCATGTAGAAATACTAAAACTTTTGTGTGAAACTGATAACCAATTTCTCGATATCCTCACGAGTCTATTTAGAGATATCTATAATAGAGGCGAAATACCCAAAGAATGGCTTGAATCAACCTTCATCGCAGTGCCGAAAAAACAAAACGCAAAAACCTGTGATCAACACCGACTCATCAGCCTCATCAATCATATTAC